AAAAAAAAAAAAAAAAACAAATCTGCGCGAGCTACCTGAGCTCCTGCCTGACGTCGTCCGGCGAGTTGCCGCCAATGACAAAGACGTCGTTCATCTCCTCGCTCAGCAGGTTGCACGAGTAGCCAATGTTTTCCGCCGTTTCTGCAATGCAAACAATATTTGATCCATCCATCCATCTGAGCATGATATCACTATTCATTCGAAACACATCCAAATAGCAACAAAAATTGAAAAAAGATCCGACCTCCATAAAACAAATACACAAATCAATGCGTATGAATCGTTAACAATGAACGCAAGTGAATGAGTCTGTTAAAGAAATACTGAAAATTGCAAACAAAATGATCTGAATAGGAAAACTAAAATCAAAGGCGAAATCCTTTGGTAAACAAAATCAGTATTTTTCATTGAGATCAATCATCATAAAAGGGGTAAAAAAAAAGTGAAATACGAATGCATCAAAATGAAAGAAAATAATGGAAAAAAACAAACTTCACATGAGAATTTTCCAAGGAGCTACACCAAAGTCATCACCCAAAAAATGGGAGTTTTTGCCCCGCGCGTGCGGTCAATATTTGTTTCGAAGCGGATACCTTGCTTGTCGCCCGTGAGAACCCAGATTTTGATGTCGGCTTTGGACAGCTGCTCGATGGTCTGCGGCACTCCGTCCTGCAGCTTGTCTTCTATGGCCGTGGCCCCCAGCAGCTAGGCGGGCGAGCGCAAAGGCTTAGCGCACGGCAGCGTTCACGCGAGGCGAGGCGGCGGCCTACCAGCAGGTCGCTCTCGATCTCCTCGTATAGTTGCTCCAGTTTGGCCTCGCGCTGGTGCGGCGCCACGCTGGCCTCGTGGTGGCGCCGTTGCCACCCGAGGAAAAAGTCCTCGTCCAGGTCTTTGTAGGCCAGCGCCAGGGTCCGCAGGCCTTCCCCCGCAAACTCCTGCAGAGGGAACCCGCGCACGTCAGGCAACTTCTGCGGGCGGCGAACGCCCCCGAGCCCGAGAGGCGGCGACCGCTCTGACGTTGAGGTGCTCCGTGGTGACGTCCATCAGTTTGGCGCAGGAGCGGTGAAGCCTCTCGTAGATGATGGTGTCGGCTCCCTTGCAGAACAGCGACAGCTTCCCCTCGGGACTGCGAACTGGTTTCAATTGCAAGGAGAAAGACGCTTTTCATCTGAAGCGCAGAGTCAAATTCGCCTCGTGGCTCTGCTCAAGGAGATTTTTCGGGAATGATGTCAACGGGCCTTTTTTAATCTCCGCAAATGACGTCATAAAGTTAAAAAAAAAAAGGACGGAAACGGAGAGCAGAGTGTGAATACTTTTTGCCACCCGAGGAAAAGGAGCACATCGGTGCCTTCCTTGGGTGACGTTTTGCAAGTGTAAAACACCAAAGACATTCCTTCCTTTTTTTCTTTTAGATTGAATGCAGAGCACAAGTGTAAAACACCAAAGACATTCCTTCCTTCCTTTTTTTCTTTTAGATTGAATGCAGAGCAGGGATTCAATCGTATCGTGCTTCTGTCAAAGTGGCTGGTGAGTCTTCGACCCAAATACAGCCTTCCGCCGCCTACATCGAGCTTCCACAAAGGATCTCGTATGGTCTCGGCAAGGTATCGTAAACGTGTTCTTTCCCCGGATGGTTTGCATTTTTTGCCATCCGAAACGCAAAAAAAACGGCAACCGCAAACACTGAGCGCCGCCCGCTTCTAAATCGCCACCGTGCCGGTCTCGTACTGAAGTCGTTTACCGATGACGGACATCCTCTTGCGGACATTGTTGAAATCCAGGATGTCCAAGAGTTTGTAAGTGCACTGCCGGCCCATTTCCACAACGGAGACGCTGTCGGGCGTCCGCGAGCGGAAGACAAAGCCGAAGTTCCTGGCGGCCGTGACCAGGGCGCCCTCATCGGGCGACTGGGCCTGGTACGAGAGCTGGCCTGCGGAGAAGGTCCGTTGGGTCAAAAGGGCGCAGGAAAGCGAGCGCCGGCTCCCGCGCTGGCGGGCGGGCTCACCTTCTTTCTTCTCCTCCGCCATGACGGTGTGGCAGAGGGCGAGCAGTCGGAAGAAGGCGTGCACCTCGGGGATCTCCAGCTTGACGGCCTCCACTAGGGCGTGATCGTGGAAGGTGAAGCGGGGGTCCGCCAGCGGGTTGAAGGAGAAATCCACCGTCTCGGTGTGCTGCTCGGAGAGACAGCGGGCGTCATGGAGACAGTGCCCGGGCTTGGCATCTTGCACTAAATAAAAATAACTCTCGATTGTCACCGTCAGGAGGAAAGCTTTGATTTCCAAATTTGGTCCCGCCCCTCCCCTACAAATCTGTCCTACTGCTCGGTCCCCATGTCGGTCTGTTCTTTTTACGAATTATTGAGCAATCGGCAGCAAATCGGGCGGCTGAGTAGCACGTCAAGCTCACAGTGCGGAGGTCGTGCGTTGGATTGCAGCCTTGGCCTTCCTGCGTGGAGTTTGCACGTTCTCCCCGTGCCCGAGTGGCTTTTCTCCGGGTGCGATATTGCCTCAAGCCAATTTTGTGCCCTGACTGCTATTCAAAAGCCTTTCCCCCCACCTTGACTGCTCTCAAATCCAGGAATCAATAAAAACGGATGATCATTCTATGAAGGATTAATAAATAAAAAAAAAAAGGTGGTATCTCAGACCATAACAGGCAAAGCTACGCCATGGCTGAAAAGACATGAACGGGAGCAACAAGTTGAATGAGCTTGCAAGACTCACCGCATTCACTTCCAGCCTCTGGCCCATGCGGTCCAAAACGTCACCTGTGAACAAACACCAGCGCAGCACTCACGTTCACTGCCCGACCGGAGGCCTTCCTTTCTGCGGGCCCGGTTTCCTCACCGTACGTCTTGCCGTTGATGGAGCACTTGTTGAAGGTCATGATGTTTTGCGTCAGCGTGCCCGTCTTGTCGCTGAACACGTACTTGATTTGGCCCAGCTCCTCGTTCAGCGTGGTGGTGCGCGCCTCGGCGGGGGTGTCGCTGCGAGAGTGGTACATCTTGCGGTCCCAGTCGATGTAGAAGCTGTTGCCCAGGCGGATGAACTCCACGCTGGAAAAGGGCCAACGAAGCAAATAAAAAGGAAACGCAATGGGCAAATCGCAACATTTTTGGGGAGGCTACTTTGAAGAGATCGTCATGCAAACGCTTGCAAAATCTCCCTCGAATGTAAATACTGAAGAGGTCGAGCCCCTCTACTTCAGCTGAATGTTTGCAAGCATGCACAATTCTTCATCAATGTTGGCTGTTTATGAGACCGTCAGGTATTTTCCGCATGCACTTCTTTCGGCGCAGAAGACAGGGATTTCTCCCTCCCCCCCCAAGAATAGGGAAAAAAAATTGGAGAAGGCAGAAACCACACAACCCCCACACCTCAAAAAAAGAAGACCTCGGCCTCACCTGACATAGAGCGAAATGGGCACCACCGTGTTGAGGATGATGACGTAGGACCAGAAAGTGAGAAAGGAGGAGAAGGCGGCATCGTGGCCGTTCTGCCTGGGCAGGAAAAGGGTGAACGCCGAGCCCTCGCCCAGCTCCCAGCAGTAATTGCCGATGGCCAGGATGGTACACATGAGCGCCAAGAAGCCGAAGATCTGCAAAGGGGAACATCATGCAATGAAAAGTGTGATGGTGGCCTAGTATGAATCACAAATTGAAAAAGGGGGCGCGCCAACTCTTGTCATGGATGTTGGAGGTGGTCTGCGGCTTAAAGCAGCCGAGTGGAAAAACATGTTTTTTTTTTGAAAGATCTAACACAGGGCAAGTTCAAAAGTGAAAACATCTTGTCATAAAAATGCCACTGAGTCGCACAAAAAAAATCAAGAAGTGAGTTGAAAGGGCCTTTAAGAATCTTCTCGCGGTGAGGTCAATTTGCAAGGCTTTTTTTTTTTTTTTTTTTTTGCGGCTATGCCTGCTCATCGGGCACGGCGCCATTCCATTTTGACGATCTGTCACCAAACTCGTTTTATCGCCCTCTTCCAGGCGGACACATGACACAAACGTGCTCACGCAGAGAACGAGGACGTTCATCAGCCGGTCCACGCTGGTCCTTTTGAAAGCGCTTTTGCCGCAGTTCTGCATCAGCTTGGTTTCGGGACCTCGAGTCGAAAACAAAGAGCTCAGAGCCGGCTTGGAGCGGGAGATGACGACATGACGTTCCTTCCACGACGTAGCGCGCCCCACCTCCAAACAGCACCAGTCCGAAGCACCACTCGGTGTTCCTCAGGGTGCAGCCTCGCAACAGGATCTTTTCGTTGTCCAGGGCGTACTTCTGCCCTGCGTAGGCCAGCGTCCCTGCGAAGCGGTCCAGCCGATTGTTGGGAGCCTCGCAGAGGACTTCGCCTTCGTGACACAGGTGCAGGGTGGGGAGGGGTGGCGCTTGAGCCGAATTCGAATGCCGTTCAGGCTTTGTTTGGTTTTTCTTTTTTCCTCCTACCATTAAAGCCCGCCAACTTGCTGACGTCATCGCCGAGGTCCCCGGTCACCGGCAGGGCCTGGCGTACCTTCAAGTTGGTCTCACTTAGGAGGAGGAGAGGAAAAGTTTGGCCAAAATGAGGGCGGTGGGTCGTGGAGCGGGACCGGGACCAAGACCGGGCGCTGGGTCTTACCCGTCCAGCTCTGCTGTCTCAATGTAGATTAGGTTGAGCGGTTCACTGCTGGACAGCAGGAGAAGGTCGGCCTGAGGAAGCGGTTCGAAGAAGGAAAAACATCAATAAATAGTGAGCTTGGCTAGCTGAAATTGGGTGACGGGAGCTTTTCTCCAGATCGCCATCAAATTTCACACAGTCCAAGCACATTTGGAAAGTAGTCGCACGTGTGCAAAGGGTGCCTCGCAGCCTCACCGTGACAAACTGGTTGTTTTCCAGCTTGATGATGTCTCCCACCTGCACGTCCATCCACTTCTCGCTGCGCAGTCTGGTGGGCGGAAGAACGGGACGTTAGCCTTGAGGGCCAAACAAATGCCCAAATATGGGCGTCGGATTGCCAACAGGAAGTCTCCGGTGTGTTTCCCGCCGGAACTCGGCCGGACGGCTCAACCATCACGGGCTCGCTGAACGAGTGACGTCGTGCGAGCTCGTCCAAACATCAGACTAAGCGCTCCGCACCTTCTGCGTGTGATGACGAACCGGCGCCGTTCATTTAGAAGCAAGGTCAAGTCCCGCCCGCTCAAAATACACGAGAGCCCCTCAGTGGCCTCAGGCGCGGCAGGGCCGTTGTTTTCTGGAATCCGACCGACCTGGCCGCCGATAAAACGGGGAAAAAAGAAATACTTGCTTTCCATCGATGAGGACTTGGACTTTTCTGTTGTTGACTTGATTGTCACTCCGGTGGCGATTCTGGAAGCAAATACAACAGTGATAAAAAGTCTGATGATTTACCCGCCCCTTGCGCATTCTAGCGACTCGGGCCCCGATTCTCGTGAACCCGAGCTAATGTTTAAGCTGTGGCGTCGGCCTATTTCGGCTTTGCTTCGTTGTTTCTGGCCTTCCTTATTAGCGCTCGTCAACCATTTAAGAGTAAAAGGTCGCGAGGGCATCTCGCGAGGGAAGCGGTTGACTTCCTCCAACAGCGTGACATATTAGCTCGTCACCAAAAAAAAGGGAAACGAGCAGTCGCTTGTGAAATCGGGGGGTGACGCAATTGGCAGCGTCAAGGGAATTCAGTCAGCGCCCACACATCTGCCGCGAGTCAAATCTATTTGGATTACTTCGTTTTGTACGCTGTAAAAAACAGCATGCAGAACTGCCCTGGGAAAAAAAATACAGGAAGTCAATTAGGACACAAAAACCTGTAAAAAAAAGAAAAATAAAAAACAGCATGCAAAATTGCACTGGGGGAAGGGGGGGGGGAATTCAGCGATATAGCGAATCCACGAATGGGTGAACGGCAATGTAGTGAGGGAAATCTGTGTTTCATTAAAAGAAATCAAGGCATACAAAGTGAACCCACCAAACAAAATCTACTCCTCAGCAGGCAATACGCGGTCCGCTGGAGCAGACGGGTATCAATTTCGCTACTTCTCGTTGATGTAAACAAAAAGAATTGAGAAAAAAAACCCAAAAAGCAACGAAAAGCTCCCTTACGTGCTCAGCGAGCACTCCATCGCTTTCGCCGTGTACCCCCCCCACCCAAGACAAAGCACAGACTTCAAATACGGTTCCCTAAGAAAGCTAAACAGGTGTGAGGAGACGGCTAAAGGTGGCTGAGGCGCTTACGATGTCATCGGTGGCATCCTTGGCAGCGGTGACGGACAGCACCAGCGCCAGGGGCACCACGGTGGTGAACCAGGACAGCGACGAGATCTCGGGAATCACCTGATGGAGAAAACAAGCGTAGCTAAAACGCCTGCAAAGTGAAAAGAAATTTGACAGTCCGCAAAGAAGAGCTCTTAACAACCCCGCCTTATTTGAGGGGGGTTGGAACAAATAAATACATCCACGAGTATCAAAAACGAGGCTTCCATATCACGATCAAGTGTCAAGTGGGGCGTGTCTGCTGGATGCGCAGAAACCTCGCCCCTCTCAAATGTCAACTGTCAATCAAATCATTGATGAGCTGCAAAAATGGATACAAATAACTTCATGTTTGAGATGTGAAAATGTATCCGGTTCAAGATTGCGGCGGCTGCGATATACGCGGCCGGGTCTTGGCATGCCGCCACAACGAGGCGCTCTAAAGCAGTCGCGCTAGTCAGAAGCCCTGGTCCACACACTGTCAAGTTGAACAAGTTGAAATTCTCACCTCCCTTTCCCTATGTAACGTATGCTCACTGACGGGCAACGACGAGGCACTCTAAAGCGGACAAACGCTAATGCGAGCAAAGGCGCCGGAGCCCTTAAACATAGCATGTTATCCAGAAGCAGATGGCAACCCATTTGGGCCGCAGAGACGCTCAAAACACAAGTAAACTCACACGATTTGTTCCGGTGACTTAGCGGCTAACGGTTTCCGCAAGCGGCGCATTTAATTCGGTGACAACCAGCTGCCGAGCGACACCCACGAGGGGCGAGGAGCGTGTTTCGGGATTGGCGCTCCCGGCGTACCTGGAGCACCAGCAGGACCAGAAAGTA